CGTCGTGTTCCTTCTTCATCCACTCCTATTCTAACTAGTTCCCTCCCCTATGGAATGAATTAATGATTAGTCTTGACAGAGTATTCAAGGAAATTGATAATTTTACCTGTGTTTGAAAAATATCAAGTGTATCAATACACTTGTTCTTTTACTTTTTTCATTGTGTATCAATAACACAAAGAAAAAGTCTGATTTCTGAAGAAAATAAGAATAATCAGGTTCATAGGCTGATAAATAAACAAAGTAAAAGTGAAAGGATAACACAAATTTATTTTTGTAAAAAACAGTCACAAAATTCTTATATTCTGGGGGAAGATAACTATCCAAAAACACATTTTGGTATACATTTGCATTTCTCTGACTTAGGAAAAAAAATTTCTATGCAACACAAATATAACAGAAATAATAAATGGTTAGTACTGTAATCTATGGGAATACCTTGTACAATTGTGTTAATGTATAACTAATCATACATGTTGTTACAAGAATTTTTTAAAATTTATAAATTTAAACTATACGTAAAACTCCTTACATGATAACTAAGCACCAAAACACTTAAAGACATGTTTTCATGCCTTTCTTTAGTCATTGACATTAGTTGTAAGAGAACCTTAAAAAGTGATTGTTTTTCTAACCAATTGACTAAAATACAAACTGTACCAATAAAAGCTCACTAAAATGTATGTCTTCCAAATTCAGGGGAAAATCAAATGGGTAATTTTGCAAACAAAAGTTAGGACATAAAATACATGTTCCTAGTAGTCTACTATAATGTAATGTACAACTGTACAACTGGTTTCTTATAAAAATGTGTGTTTGCTATCTGTATTGTTTCAACACATTGAAAAGTCATTTAATATGTTATAAAATGAGTTTATAAAATTACCTCTGTATGAAAAACAAAACCAATTTTACCTATGAATAATCTAAGGTAAACGTTTACCAGTAAACTATTTTTTTATAATTTGAAAGCTTTAAAAGATGTTCATTGAAACAAAAATTTGTTTCTACAACGAAATTTAACATGTTTTTTCAAACTCCTTTTTGTACAGAATTCCTTGCAACAGTATTGACAAGTGAAGTTAGTTGCTTTGTTGGGTCGAGATTTGAGTTTTGAACCAGGCACCACATTCGCGAAAGGACTCTGTGGTTTTGGCTTTGCATTGAGTATTGCATTGAGTAAGCTGTGACATTCTCGTTCAAAATCCTCCGTTTCCGGTGGGACATTGAGCATGCTTTTTTGGGGTTTTTGAACTATTTTTAAATTGATTTTAGACTTTTCCATCGGTTTTGAATTTACATCAGAGGGTTTCATTACATTTAGATTGATAGGCTTTTTTACAAACGGTAAATCACATTTCATATTTTTATTGGCACGTGGGTTGGCAGTTGTAGAAGATTCTGGGAGAGGTTGGTGGTTTTCTTTAAACAGGTCAGATCTGACCCTTATGATTGGCTTTGTTGGTTCCATTTCATTGTTAGCATCACCATGACACCCAGTTTTCGATTTTGATTCTTCTTTTGCATAAACTGAAGACGGTTGAGTTGCTGAATCTGCTGTTACCTGATGGGCACATTGTGGTGTACCTGGAAGTAAAAATATACAACTGTTTGACATAAACTCTGTGGATCCCATAGAAAAATTACTGATGGACTTTAAGTGAAATTAAATAGTAAAACAGCTCTTATATTAAACTTCAAGGTACGTACAAACTATATAAATCACTAGATATTAATAATAAAAGTATTTAAAAGTTACTAGCACATTTTAAATACCCATTGGATAAATTATCAAAGAAGAGTAAAATTAAAATTAAATCGTAAATAAAGTTTCTCAGCTTCGCCTCGTAAGACTTGAGCTCAAGGAGAAAAGATTTACTTTACATCCTAGTGATTAGTGAGATTTTTCAAATCTGAGACTAACATTATATTCCTTCTTTATCCACTCCTATTCTAACTAGCTCCCTCCCCTATGGAATGAATTTATGAAGAATTCCGTTCTGTAATTATATTTCTGTGATATCAGTCGTCCACTTCTATTGAAGTCCAATGCCAATTGACGGGCCTGAAAGGAGCAAGGTATATGTACGTAGAAAATGTGTGCAAGTGCTGGGTGGGGGGCTCAGAGGTGGTCTTAAATGTAAGTTATGTAAGTCCACCGATTTTGAACAAAGGAAATTTTGCATACAAATCAAGATTTTACTGAACAATGAGATTAAAAAACAGAATCAAGTGAGAAAATAGTAGTTTATTCAAGAATGTTAACTTTTAATCAAAAATAGGCTACAGCTGAACTGGGTTTATAAAAAGTACCTGTGTATGAAAAAACACAAAGTGTATCAATACACTTACTCAGTAAATTTTTTCATTATGTATCAACAATGCAAAAAAAGTCTGCTTTCTTAAGAAAATAAGGATAATCAGATTCATAGGCTGATAAATAAATAAAGTAAAAGTGAAAGGATAACACAAATTTATTCTTGAAAAAACAGTCACAAAACTCTTATGTTCTGGGAAAGATAACTATCGAAAAACACATTTTGGTATACAGTTGCATTTCTCTGTCTCAGGAAAAAAATTATCATATACAACACAAATATAACACGATTAATAAATGGTAAGTACTAAATGTAATCTATGGGAATACCTTGTATAATTGTGTTAATGTAAAAAATACAACAGAGACTATTTATACATGTTGTTACAAGATTTTTTTTAAAATTTTAAAATGTATAAATAGAAATTATACATTAAATATAAAAACCCTTACATGATAAATAAGCACCAAAACACTTAAAGACATGTTTTCATGTCTTTCTTTATTCATTGGCATTAGGTATAAGAGAAACTTAAAAAGTAATTGTTTTTCTAACATTTTTGCGAAAATACTAACTGCACCAATAAAACCTCACTAAAAATGTATGTCTTCCAAATTTATGGGATAATCAAATGGGTAATTTTGCAAACAAAAGTTAGGACATAAAATACATGTTCCTAGTAAAGTCTACTATAATGTAATATAAAACTGTACATAGTGTACAACAGGGTTCTTATAAAAATATGTGTTTGCTAATTACTATGATTGTTTCAACACATTGAAAGGTCATTTAAATATTTGATAATGCGTTTATAAAATTACCTGTGTATGAAAAACAAAACCATTGTTACCTATGAATAACCTAAGGTAAACATTTACTAGTACACAATTTTTTTATAATATGTAAGCTTTAAAAGATGATCATTTAAACAAAAATTTGTTTATACAAAGTTTGATGTGTTTTTTCAAAGTCTTTCTTGAACGGAATTCCTGGCTGCAGTATTGACAAGTAAAGTTAGTTGCCGTTACCTGATCGGCACATTGTGGTGTACCTGGAAGTAAAAATATATAATTGTTTGGCAAAAACTCTGTGGATCCCATAGAAAAAATAACTGATGGACTGTACGAAAATGTTGCATACAAATCAAGATATGACTCAACAAAGAGATTAAAAAACACATATAAGAAAGAAACAAGTGAGAAAATAGTGTTTAAGACAGTTGTGGACTCTTAAGAGTAGTTTATTCAAGAATGTTCCCTTTGAATTAAAAATAGGCTATAGCTGAACTATATAGGAAGAATGAGGAAAGCTAGTTTTATAAATTTTAAATTTGCAAGGAATTTTCTCATGTTAAGATGATTGCATTGACTCACAGGATCTATTAAAAATCTATCAGAACTACTTACTACTTTAGTTAAATAAGTTTATAGTTAAATACTTTGTTGATCCATCATTAATTATAATCCTCATATTATCATGCATAAATTCACTGTAGGCTAAAAATAGTACTTTTGTCATGAATAAATATACAGGTAATAAAGCTAACGCTGAGGCACATTTTTTAGAATCACTTAAAGCTTTATCATGCCTTATGGAGTCATGTCTTAATTCATGACACATATTTAAATAACCAATATTCAGAAGTAAAGAGCATTCCATTGAATATATCAAAATACAAATAAAAAAAAATACAAATAAAAAAAAAATACAAATAAACATGACAGTAAAATCATTGTAAAACACATATATTTATCACTACTACAAAGAAAGAGTCTGCTTTCTGAAGAAAATAAGGATAATTAGGTTCTTAGACTGAAAAAGTGAAAGGAAAAAAAATTATTTTTGTAAAATATAATCGCAAAATTTTTTTTAAGGATGAAAATTTTAAACTTCTTTTACTTAGGCCTATACTGAATTTTAATGCATCACAAATATAACAGAATTACTAAATGGTTATGTAAGCTAAGGCACATAGTTCATATAGCTTTAATGTTAAACAGAGACCTTGTAATTTTTTTTAAATTTAATAAAAAAATGAAAACTTTAAGCATACATGTAAAAACAGAAACTATCCATTAAATATAAAAAAACCTTAGGCTTACATGATAAATAAGTACCAAAACACTTAAATACATGTTTCCATGTCTTTCATTATTCATTAATTAGCGTTAGTTAAAAGAGAAACTTAGTTATATGTCTTCCAAATTCAGGAGAATTTCATAGGTCTTTTAATTTTGCAAACAGAATTTAGGACATACAATACAATACAACAGATAATACTTGTTAAATACAAAAATTATTACACGATAAGCCTTCTAAACAGCATTTCCATTGTCAAGTCAAATTTATTTTAAACATTTTGTTTCCTGTTCTTAGGAAATTCTACCGTAAGGTAACTTAATTTACAAACTATTAACAAAGTATACAACAGGTTTCTTATAAAAATATGTGTTTTCTAACTAACTATGTAGTGTTTAAACAAATTGAACATTTCTTTAAAGTATTTGCTAATGGGTTTTTAAAATGTACCTGTGTATGAAAAACATAAAGTGTATCAATACACTTCCACTTTCGTCTTTCTCTTTCACTTTTTTCTTTGTGTATACTACAAAGAAAAAGTCTGCTTTCTGAAGAAAATAAGGATAATCAGGTTTATAGGCTGATAAATAAACAAAGTAAAAGTGAAAGGATAACACAAATTTATTATTGCAAAATAACATTAACAAAACTCTTATTTTCTGGGAAAGATAACTATCCAAAAACACATTTTGGTATACATTTTTGCTTTTCTCTGAATTAGGAAAAAGTTTTATCATATGCAACACAAATCAAATGGGTAGCTAATTTTGCAAACAAAATTTAGGACATAAAATACATGTTCCTAGTAAAGTCTACAATAAGGTAATGTACAAACTGTACAACAGATTTCTTATAAAAATACGTGTTTGCTAACTGTATTGTTTCAACACATTGAAAAGTCATTTAAATGTTGCGTATCATTTAAATAATGTGTTTATAAAATTACAGCTTATTTGACAGCTTAAAAAGATGGTTATTGAAACAAAAATTTGTTTTTACAACGATGTTCGAGGTGTCTTTTTAAAGTTCTTCTTGTACTGAATTCCTTGCAACAGTATTGACAAGTGAAGTTAGTTGGTTTGTTGTGTCGAGATTTGAGTTTTGAACCAGGCACCACATTCGCGAAAGGACTCTGTGGTTTTGGCTTTGCATTGAGTATTACTGGACATGCTTTTTCGAAATCCTCTGTTTCCAGTGGGACATTGAAAATGTCTTTTTTCTCACTATTAATGTCTGGACAAGATATTGTGGCAAATATAGGAGGAGAGGGAGGATTTTCAGCAACCTCTGTTCTCTTTACTTTGGAGGCTTTCATCTTCTGAGGTCGAGTTTGCTGCCGAGCCATCTTTGATGTTCCTGCTTTGATTAAGTCTTCGCTAACTGAAGTGGTATAAGAAAACCTATCAAAAGATTTGTTATCATATCCTCCATCTGAATCATCCTCCACCGGTTCTTTTTTTATTCTTTGTATCTCGTTAGTAGGTTCTTTTTTGATACATAGTTCTGGAAATGTTTCCTCAGATATGTTAATTTTTTTCAAGAATTTTAACATTTCATCGTTGTTTGATTTTTTCACTGTCGTGCATTTGTTTGCTTTTTGTTGATCAGAGATTGATTTTCTCATTGAATCAGCAACACCATTATCTTTTTCTTTGTAAGCATCACCAGCTTCTAATGCTTTGTCAGTTTCTAGCTTTACCGTAGCTTTTGAAATGGTTGGGTACGGCGTGGATGTAAATAATGGTGAGGTTTTAACAGTTTTGGATTTTTTCGGAGTTCGCTTCTCAGGGGAACTACTTGCAGCTCTTTTCTTTTGTGTTTCAATGTCTGCCCGTTGGTTTTTGTTTGTATTAAAAGAAGCAAACTTGACTATAAGTTTATCCCGCTTTTTATTTGTAGATTTCTCAAAATCATTGTCAGACTGATTTGGTTTCAAAATGCCTAAGCTTATCAAAAAGTCCTGAGTGCTTTCATCCATTTCAATATTTTTATTTTCCTTTTCCTTTTCTGCAATCTTTTTTGGGCTGTTTTTGAGGGGTTTTCTCAATGGGGAAATAACAGGTTGAACAAGTTTCTTGTTTTCAACCTCAAAATCCTGCGATTCCTTAATCTGCGACTTTGAACTTCCTTTGAATGAAGAATTTTGTCGAAGATTTGAGGCAGGTTTCTTGTTGAAAACTTTTAATTGAGTACATGTGTCTTCAATTGCATTGTGAGTTTCGATATCATTCCCATCTATAGGATAATTCTTTCCTTGAATTACAGTAGAAGAATCTGATTGGTTATTTTCTTCTTGTTTTCTCTTACAGGATTTATTGTTGTTTTTTATAGCAGAGTCAATATCTTCTTCTTCTGCCACAACTTCACCTGAGTTACCATCAATTGTTTTTTCTTGCTCAGAAAAATTGGAAGCTTTTACAGTAGACATCTTTCCTAGTTTGATAACTTCATTATTTACAAACTCACCACTACTATTCTCCGAAGACTCGACTTCGGGTATATTAGGCATGGAATCCATGAATGTGTTTTCACTGGTCAATAATAACATGTTCAATGAATTACTTGGTCTACCTTTGTCATCGTAGGCTTTAAATTGGCCTGGGTGCTTTGGCATGTTCACATCACATCTATCTAAAACAATTTCCAATTTTTTAGAGCACAATTCTTTTAGAGATGGACTGGATAGTTTGTATGTGGTTTTAGTTGATTGAAAATCTATTTTTTTTAAAGATTCTTCTGATGAAGTGCAGTCATTAAAGGACGGTTTGCCATCAACAAAGTCAGATGTCGGTTTAGACTGGTGAGACCCATCAGAATCATTAACTGTGTCAGTTCTATAATCTTTTTTGGGAGATTTGTTGGAGCCAGCCCCATATTTTTCTTTGACATTTGCAGTAAGCAACACTGAGGATTTACCGTAAATATCTTTATGAACAGAAGGTCTTTTCAATTCAACTGGTTTGTCGGTTTTTGCAGAAACGGGCTTCTCTTCTGGGACGGGATCAGGCTTAACGCAATCTTCATGAGCAAGAGGTGTTATCAATTCATCTGGTCTGTCGGTTTTTGCAGAAACGGGCTTCTCTTCTGGGAAGGGATCAGGCCCAACGCAATCTTCATGAACAGGAGGTGTTTTCAATTCAACTGGTTTGTCGGTTTTTGCAGAAACAGGCTTCTCTTCTGGGACGGGATCAGGCTTAACGCAATCTTCATGAACAGGAGGTGTTTTCAATTCATCTGGTCTGTCGGTTTTTGCAGAAACAGGCTTCTCTTCTGGGAAGGGATCAGGCCCAACGCAATCTTCATGAACAGGAGGTGTTTTCAATTCATCTGGTCTGTCGGTTTTTGCAGAAACAGGCTTCTCTTCTGGGAAGGGATCAGGCCCAACGCAATCTTCATGAACAGGAGGTGTTTTCAATTCAACTGGTTTGTCGGTTTTTGCAGAAACAGGCTTCTCTTCTGGGACAGGATCAGGCCCAACGCAATCTTCATGAACAGGTGTTGTTTTAAATTCAACTAGTTTGTCGGTTTTTGCAGAAACAGGCTTCTCTTCTGGGACCGGATCAGGCCCAACGCAATCTTCATGAACGGGAAGTGTTTTAAATTCAAATATTTTGTCAGTTTTTGCAGAAAAAGGCTTTTCTTCTGGGACGGGATCAGGCTTAACACAATCAGATTCGTCAACATTTGCAGTTTTAACCTGATCAACAGACGACTCTGTTTGGTCTGCTGCAACAGCTTTCTTTTGCTGAGGTTTCAAAACTTTAATCCCAGGAAGTTTAGTGTCTTCCTCAAATATGTCTGATTCGTCTGATGAAGAAAGATCCAGTCCAAGGTCCTCAACTTGACTGATAAACTGAGGATCGGGAGGAACAGGGATCAAAATGGCCGAAAGGGGATTCCAGAGCTCAGCGTCGGGTGGGGAATACTGGCTTCTACTGACATCATCTGAAAAATAACAAAGTGAAATATTATAGAAATGTGATAAGGGTAACTGGAGTTTAAAAATACCAATTTATAATATTAGATTTTAATGAAAGACATAATAATCTTAACCCTCAAAAGATAAACTTGCATGATTTATTTCTAAAATATTTCTGTTTACCAAGCAAAGGATTTTTTTTATAATAAAAAAACAGTAGGAAGCTAAAGAGTTGGTGTAAGAAACACTGATCTTAGACTAGGAGATTTATCCATAAATAGAGTATAACATTAACTCAACTTTAGAACATAGACATTTTCAAAAACATTAGAACTGTGATGAGTGTGTACTAAACTTAGTGTTAACTTAAAAAAAAATTAAGAAAGTAAGGATAAGAAGGGTAGAAAAATACAGTTCTTAGATTTAGATGTTTATTGAATAACAGTAAAAAATATAAAACTACCATTATTTTAACAATGAAAATGTTGATAAGAAAAAAAATTGAAAAAACAATTGCGTATTCTAAGAAAAGGTAAAACTATTTAAAATAATTACTCATTTAGAAAATAGTATAAAAATAAGTCAAATGCTCCTATAAGGAACTACAGAGTATATAACAGCCTTTTATATTAAATATTAAACTATATCAACAACTATATTAACATGGGTAATTACGGGCCGAATTTTTAAAGGTATTTTGTACATTCACGAACAGAAAAACAAATACAAATTGTATGGTGGATAACATGTTTATTTTAGTGCACTTATAAATCATACATAATCTTTGTAGAATTGTCATTCTTATAGATTGAAATTTTGAAGTACAGTTCTAACCGATTAGTCAGATTAGTTAGTTTGATTAACAATGCAAATTTATTTCTTGTTACTTTACAAAATAAAATAAAATAAAAAATGTCATTCCAAGTTGATCTATTTGTAGCTACAACTTATCTTTTTTTATTATCACCAAAGTAAATTTGTACACAATATGGGAATCAATGACCAGAATTCACACTAAATAAATGAAAAATATATAAACAACCTTTATTCTTAGGCCTACTGGACATTGTAATGCTCCAGCTTTTATAACTGGTTGGGAAATGTACTAGTTTACACACAAATCAAAAACACATACTCAATAATTGATTGCAACGGGCTATATTATAATTCTTAAGTGACATAATAGTTTATATCGTACCTAGGGCCAAAAATGAGGTTTTGCTGGCTCAAAATAGTTTTCAACAAAGTCGAGAACTTAAAAACAATCAAGAGCTGCAAAACCATTTCGGTCTGTGGTATGAACGTTATTTTTCACCAGACTACACCCTATTACCCATTTTCACTACAATAATAATGTAAACTAACAGTCAACACAACTACGTGAAGAAATAATTTTAGTAATCAGCAAAAATAATAATAAACAGTTGCATGGCAGCAGTGACATAAAAAGTCTATTGCAAATGCTATGGATACACCTTGTGTATTTAATACATAATTGTTTTAAGTAAATAAGGGAACAGTTCATTTTGCGGCCTTAGGGATGTTAAACCTGTTTGGTCCCCAAAACGACAATGACAGCTGGCATGCACGTTGCACAGCAAAACATCATTTTGTGGTGAAAAAGTTGTTACAATACTAGTTGTCATCTGTTTTCGTTTACAGCTCATATCAGTGAGGTATTCGACCTTTATCTTTAGTCACATGTAAAAACATGTACCAAAGGAATTTATAGAACCCAAATGGTTGGCTCGCTGCACAGAGAAGTAAGGTACAGAGGTAATGCGCTTACGGGACAACAGCTCTATAGTCCTCGCCACCCTAAGTTGAGGGAGCCAAAGGCCGCACGGCGTATATCTAGTGCGGCGTTTGGCTGCCTCAACTTAGGGTGGCGAGGACTATAGTAACTTGTGCCAGAAATATACTTGTGACTAGCAAGGAAGAGCCTGAGCGGCGAGCATTGTGTGCAGATTACTATTGCACAACACAGGGTCCACTGCAAATGTTGTAGTACGCAACGGCAAGGGCCCAGAGTTGGACTTTGCCCTAGACACCAGCGACTAGTGCTGGACACCACATAGTGTGTCATTTAGAATATTACCTCAGTATATTACTTCTCTTTGCTTGCTGCTAAACGGTTGCGATTGTGCCAGCTAAACAGTCTTTATCCGGTAGTATGTTTGATCCACTATGTTTGGCCCAAATGTGTCGCAACAAGTTACACTTTCGGGAACTTTTTTTTGGACAGTGCGGACAAGGGAACTTTGGTTCTTGTCCACATTCGTACTTCAAATGTCTTGATAGTCCTCCTTTCTGAGAATAGTGTTTGTTGCAGTTGATACATTTAAAACTGGACTGGTTCGAATGAGATATGTGATGAGATTGTGATAAGTGATCCATCTTCCAACCTGCATTCCAACCTGGAAGAAAAAATATTTTACAATATGGAATTTTAGATGACTGAAACTTGTAGAAAAAAAAACAAGAGGAATTGAATAGTCCTGTATTATGACAACATTAATGTGCGTTTCTGTCAACAGGTACATTTATTTTACAGTGCAAAAAGTGTTATGTCTTTTCAAATAATATTTAGTATTCTTTTCATAATAATAATGAGTATTCTTTCATTTTTACTGAATAACAAGTACAAGAATGTTCTACATGTAAAAACTTCAAAGATTTAATTTTTAACCTGGCTCAAACTTTTGATTCAAGCAATGTTTAAATGGCAAGAAGTTTTCCTGTTTTATACACAGATTATTAATTTACAGATAATAAATTTCAATAAAGAAACATTACTAGTTTACTTTAAGGGTCAGTAAATGCACAATAAATTTTAGAGAAATGTACCTACTTCTTATAAAATTGTAATTTTGTGTATTTAAAATAATCAAATATGAAAATCGTTTTAAGTTAACTTCTATTTTCGCTAAGATCTCAAAACTTGCTAGCTCAAAATACTACAGAACAGCTCTACTCTACAGAAATTGTCTACTTAAAGCTCTTTCTTGAGCACTTTTTATACAGTAGTATAAAATGTTCAAGCCCCAAAACTTTGGGTAGTAACCCAAAGTGAACAAGAGACATCTGCCTGGACTTTTCTATGGGGAAATTTGCTTGACAGGTCAAATAACAGGAAGGTTTCCATTTTGACATATTCAATGTGAGTTTCATTTACAATGTGACAACTATATCTTGGTAAGAAGTATACAGAAATATTTATCTTTCTAATTCCCTAATAAAAACGCAAAAAAAGCCAGTTAAATCTAATACATTGCATTAAAAAAAGGTTGACGGATAAATCACACACTCAAGTTTATAAATTCTTAAAAATATAATTGGACAAAAAATCAACATTGTAACATTGTGCATTGTAGCATTGCGTAATGGTCAGACCATAATCTCATTTAAACATTCTGAAGGAAATTCCTTAACCAAAACTTAATTTCCTCCACCTAATTTGACACAAACTTTCAGAAATGTGTAGTATCGCAAGATATTAATTAGATTTATTATTGGGGGACCGATAAGCTCAGGGAACTAAAAAGGGATAACTGACATTTGAAAGGAAGTTTGACAACAACATTAAACTAAAAATCAAAACAACTTAAGTATTTTATTTAAATTACACAAATATACATTATTTTACATATCACATTAAAGAGTTTTCAAACACACTGGTCCTCAAAACATATATCTTATTAAATCAAACACCTCCTTCAAAATGAAATACTTGTCTATATATTAAAGTATTGGTTTTGATTTTAAACAAAAGTGCAACAACAAAAATTAAAAATATTACTACTTTGGCACAAGAAACTAGGATAAGGTTTGAAATATCAAATCTGCAAACCATTTAATAACTATTTTTACAGTATATATATTTTAATAGGTAACTATATAGAACTTTACACATAATACAATGTTTTCATTTCAATCTCAACAAGAAATTATATCTTTAATCCATTAATTATTATTTAGTTATGTGTAGTTTGGTAAGAGCTCCTATTTATGTATAAAACCTTCAAAGTTGTAGTCTAATTTGGTCGCGGAAAAATGTTTCTACAAATATCTTAAAAGACTATGCACTTTTATCCCTATATAGAAAAATACATAAAAAACTTTATTTTCTTATATCCAACTATATTTAACAGGGAAACTTGGAACTAAATATACAAATATATTTTAAAAACAATTACTTAATTTAGATTCTGTTCCAAAAAAGAAAAGAACAAGTTCGTTATAGTAAATTGGAAAATTTGGAAAGCCAGTTTTAAGGCAAAAACTGCAAATACAATATAAATAATATGAAAAATATTATTTATAAGGTGCCAATACAACTCAAACTTAATTTGTCATTTGAAAATGTAACAGAAAATATGAAGGTAATAAGAAAATAAAAAAGAAAGTTTATGCTTGTTTGGAAAAATTTGTTTGAAAAAAAAAACAATTCTGTTTACACTTTCCCAAATTGATTTAGTTTACAACTGGACTAGACACATCCTAACAGTTATCCTTTAAGCCCATAAGCAGCCTATAAATAAGTACTCAACATAACACAAAACATAAAAAACACAACAACATCAATAACAAAAAAAAAAACAATAAACATACAGTCAACAGTAAAAACAAGCAAATGTTCATGGGTCAATGAATCTTTGACATTAAATCATTTGAGCTAGGTACCGGTACTAAATTGGTATCAAAAGGCTTTTTTTCACTAAAAATTACATAAAGGTGTATCTCCAATAAATGAACAGTAGAGTGTTTGTATGGGATTGTTACATGGAGAACTCTTTTTGCCAAAAAGAGTGATGGTCGATAAGATAATCTTTTCATAATCACTCATTGTGCAGACATATAAGATTTGCCTGCCTATAGATCCATGCTTGCAATTACTCAAGGATGTTCTTTTGTAGGCTCTGATTGGTTGATTGTAGTTGGACACCTTATCACAAGGTCATCCGAGAATGTTTCCCTCCAAAATGTACGTAGGTGATATGGTCGCCAAGATGACCTTTTCGGAAAAACTTCTTGTTGCAGTAGTTACATTGGAATTGCCGTTCCTTATTGCATTCATACCTGCGATGTCTCAAAAGGGTTCCTCTGTTGGAATACTTTCGTCCACACTCGCACAAAAACATTGGTGAAAGCGGTTTAACGCTAGTTTCCGGATTAAAAGAGTTCTTGAACACTCTTTGAATGTATTCATAGTCAAATCCTTGATTGCATTTAGAGTTTGTGGCTTCAAACATTTTCTCCACAGGACGGATAGAAATTCCAGTTCCTCTGTAGTCATCGACTTCAAAGCCATCTTTAAAGAGGTCCAATATTAGTCGGTCTGAAACATGTATAGACATTATTTGTGCAATGAAAAGTTAAGAAAAGTATATAAAAATACCCTTTTATAAATACTGTATTCTATAAGCAAATTGAGGCCAGTGAGTTTCAATAGTTTAAATTTTGGAAATCAAACATTAATTTTCAGTAGTATACAATGAACTACAGTAATAATGTATTCCGTAAATAAAATTGATGGCTATAAGTATTGTGGCTCAGTTACAGTTTACACTCTTTGATTTTTTCCACAGCAGATTTTGTCCCAGCCAGGAAAGCAATGCATGAAAGGTAGAATGAATTATAAACAAATTTAAAAAATGTTTAATTTATATATTCAAAGATTGAAACAGAATTTGACCACCTTTTCTTGAGTAATAATACAAAAAGGCTAAACCTGAAGTACTTTGCAAGACATTGTCTGATGCCTCTGAAGGATATACTTTTGTTTAAACTTATATCCACATCCAATACACTGAAACTTTGGTTCAACTTTGCACTCATAGTAAAGGTGACGCATTAGATGAAATTTATGCAGATATATTTTTTTTTTTTGCAAGAAGACAACAATATTTTATGCTTAAGGAAGATGAAACATCAAACATAGGCCTGATCTGGGTAAGGAAGTTTTCATACAAGACATTTGCTGCAACTTATTAAACAGTTGGTTATTTAACTGCAATTTTTAACAATCGAAGAGAAATCCTAAATTAAGTAAATTCCCAGTTTATGGCTTTCATATTTCAAAAAAGCGTAAAATCAAAGATTATTGAAGCTATTAACCAAATATTGGCTGAATAAGTGGGTTTTCACCATAAATAAATACAGGAATTAATATTTTGGTGACAAATTTCAACCATGAAATAAACCAATTTTACCAAATGTGTATGTTTAGTTTATATTAATTGCATTACAGCTTTGATTTCAAAACAAAATTTCACCGTATCCATTATTACGTTAAAGGTTTTAATTACCAATTTATGTAGTCCTCATTAGGTTTTTGCCAATGTCAGTGTTAAATTTCTTTTAAAATCAATATAATACAAAATTATAGTTAAAAAATGTTACACAAAAAATGTGACATGATTTTCAATTTTATGGTGTGTTTATTTGAGTATGGATGTAAAATACACATGACAAGCAAGGAAACACATTTATTTGATTCAGTATATTTGCTTATTAAAGTTATAAAATTGAAAGTTTTTTAATACAAAATAGTATTATTAGTGCAAGTATAAAAATCCAAATTCATCCAAAGTAAACAAGTTCTTCATCTGGTGTATCTTGCTCTTTAAGCCGTCTCTGCTCTTCTTGGCGTGTCACCTTTAATTTTTCTCTCTTTAATGTCCTCCTTAGGTTCTCGGTCTCCCTCGGGTCGGTAAGAATCTTCTGTATACTGTAACAAAAATCAGCAAACTTTTAATAAACAGTTAATAAAACAAGCGTTATTAGTTAACATTTGAGGCTAAAACATTTATGGGAAAAGCAGACATAAATGGCTGGAAATGAATCGTACATGACACAATTGAATTCCATAGAAATTTGACTAAATTGTTTGATTTCATCAAACCAAATTCTGTCTACCATTAAGGTTTTGCAAGCGATCTGCTGTGATAGAGCGCGGGACTGCGGTGCCCGATGTCCTGGGTTCAAATCCCACCAATCATCAATGCATTTTATCCATGTGATAATGCCACAACCCACTAGGATTACCCTGAAGTAATGTGTAAAAGGTTTTAGACATAGAACGTTAGTCAAAATAAAAACACTCACTTAACATTTGTTGATTCCTCCTCCAATATCTCATTTATGGATTTGTCAGGCTCCATTCTGATTCGCTGTTTCAAGTTGTGTATAGCTAGCCTCTGTTCTTTAAAATTGAGGTCAGGAGGATGATTGTGAAGTCCCGTTGCATAAATAGGAGAGCCCTCTTCATTCCGCATAGTAGCTCTGGCTCTACATTTAGGCTTCTTACAAATCCTGACACATTTGAGGAGTCTGGAATAACAAATAAAAATAGCTAAGTTTCAGAGACAAAGAAAGGTATTACATTATTAATATTTGTTAATACAGGGTAATATAAAATAAGTTCCATCCCACATAAAATATTTGATGGGCAATATTAGGCGACCTTAAAATCATCAAGGATTAAAAAAAAAATCCCTTGTCACTAATGTCACAATATTAAAAGTAAAAGTGCAAGTATAATCCCCGTGCGGTACCGGGTTAGAATAGGACCGCATCCTTCTCAGGCTTGTCGTAAGAGGCGACTAAGAGGGTGACCGACAAACTCACTGGGAGTGCCCCTGTTGGGTTGCAGGGGTTGATGTGTGCTCTGCACTGCCGATGGGTATTCTCAGTGGGTCGTGAGAAACCAGCCACTCCGGTCCTTGGTCAGGGAGTGCATGGATGTAGAGGTTGGACTCTGCATTGTGACGGGCGACCCCTGGCACGTCAGGTTTCCGGTGCTGGGCAAACGGCTCAAATGAGCAAGTAAATACGTTTAAAGTAGAGCAGAACCCTTTTGCCCGAAGCTCCAAGCTTAAGAGGTCGCCACCACCGAAAAAAACGTGAGGACATCTCTGCCACCTGCACCTTTCAAGTGCTCTACATTCCCCCCTTTAGGGTCTCCATCGGCAAGTGGAGCTGGGAATGGTTTAGAAAATAATGGCGATGTAGACGCCGAACAGGCATTGCCGGGAACTCTGCTGCCGATCAGTTCCGCTGTAGGGATGCCGAAGGAAAACTTCACGGCGACGTCACAGTCAGGAGTTTCTGAGATGGTGATTCTGCGTCAAGATATTTTTGACGCAGATGATAGTAACATCAGATAGTAAAATTGAAACCCGGCTCCGTGATATGGAGGAGACCATCAGGGCTATGCTGGACACCTTCCGGACCCAGAAACCCGTAAATCAAGTGGCCAAAAATAAAATGGCCAAATTAGAGGATGACCTTGGCTTCGTCTTTGCCTGGCCATGAAAAAGATTGCCTAAAAGGTGGTGTCCCTGCCCGATGAAAGAGCCCTGCCCGATGCTCATACCTGTGTGTGTAAAAGCATTTTCCCTCCTCTCCCTTAATAAAATAAAAATAGACTAAACAACACAAGCAACACGAGTAGACTACTTATCATATTGTACATTTTGAAGCTCGTTTTTCATGTCTAGTTAATGTTCGGTGACACTGATTGCTAAGTGTCGATAAAATTTTGTTTTTATTATTTTAGGGTTCATTTTATGATTAGTGCTTTACTGTTTGGTTATGTAGCTAAGGGACAAGTTATTGTTTACGATTAGATCATTTTACAGTAGACCCCCTCTTAACCGACCTCGTATTAACCGATAATCGGATTATCCGCCTTCGATCGTAAAATAATACAGTTTGTTTTAACCGACCTTGCTTTGAAAGCAGCTCGGTTTAACCGCCGCTTTCTAGGAATCTCGGCATTTCCGCTCCCACGCTGGGCGATGAGAACTGAACCATACGCTTATCTCCGCAGGATATGACTAAGAATAAGTTATTTTGTGTTGATCACAAAAAATATAGCATAGCTGCATTGTCAGTTTGTCATCATCGTTTGTAGCTCGAGCTCATCTGATCTGTTTGTTATCTGTGCGGCAAATTTATAACATCATAAAGTGTGTTACGATTTTGAGAACTGATTATCTTATAGCTGGAGTAAACAAACAACGCAACTTGTAGGGAGGGCTGGGAAAGGGGGTTAACAACTCTAAGGTCAAGATAGTTTTTGTGCCTCGGCCTCCAGTGAGAGGCTATAAACAAACGTCATGTCTTGTAACAAAATTGTTGATTGTATTTTTAATGTCGACAAAAGGTTCTGTACTGTATTACGATGGATTTGGAAAGCATCAATCAATAAATTACAGCACTAAAGTTATTAAAATAGGAATTTTATTGACTCTTGCCTAGTATTATAATATTTTCCACTGAAAGTAGGCCTATTTGACTTAACCGTGTTTAGTGTTTATTTGTGACTTTTCTATCAATACGAAAAAGGAGATAAGAGTAGTTTATTTTATAAATAATGCAAGTATGATTTCAAAATAATGATCATATAATTCCAAATGAATAGCACTTCATTATGTTATGATTTTAGGGATTGTCCGTTTCATCCGACCTTTTGAATTATCCGACCTAGGTCCGGTCCCATTTGGGTCGGTTAAGAGGGGGTCTACTGTATTTGGCTAAACGAGTTTAAAATAACTGAAATAACAAGAAACAAATTGGAAACAAAACACAACCACTACACAGTGCACTGGACAGAACTAACAACAATATTAGCTTTAGCTATTCCATAAGGATGAGAAATTTACCAAGAGAGTATGTTTTATCTATAGTACTACTCTTTCCCCAACTTGCAATTATAAGGCCTGTTTATAATGCTTACTATTTGGCGTTTTATGTTTAAAATTAAATACTATAGCGTTGCAATGTGAAAGAGTACAGTAGACTCTCTCTTATCCGGATACCTTTTAACCGGACATCGGATTAACCGGACTAAACTCAGCGGAAATGACATCTGTTTAACCGGACAATTTTTATCAGCACATTGGTTTAACCGGACTAGATCGGCAGGAAGTGGGCAGTACTGAAACGACTGTTCTCGTGGGAAAGATTTGAGACCAGTGATCACATGTCTAAATACAATGCTCTCCTAAATTTAAATCGAATATCACAGTAAACAGTCCGTTTTAATGAGTTTTTGGGGACGTCGGTTTAACCGGAAAACCCGTTATCCGTTATCGGGCCTCGGTCCCGAGGAGTCCGGATAGGAGGAAGTCTACTGTACATCAATCAGTGATTTTTGTGTTATAATCACTTAGGAAATATCTGCAAAATTAATTCTAAGAGTGATAATAAAAAAACAAGTTTACCTTCTGGTCCCACAAATTTTATCTTTATCATAATAATACCCTCTGCCGTCATGGTAAAAGGAAGTCCCCTCTCTTATCCCTGGTAGGGTTTCTGAAGGCGGATCAGGTATTCCTTCATTAGAAAAGGCAGGTATTCCTTCATTAGAAAAGGAATTGTCCACTATAAGTAAAAATGTGTTCGCAATTGCATTATTCGTGTTAATATTTTCAGAGCTATTGGCTTCTGGTACTTTACTGTTAAACTCCTCTAACTCGTCATGAGGATTTTCTTCAGTTGAAATATCTAAATCAGAATCTTGGTAATCCATTTCAATACTTTCTTTAAGTTTTGCAAGGTCTTGGCTTTTCATTTCAAGATTTTCTTCTTTTGGATGATCATAGTCTTTGTTTGAGAACTCTCTCTTTATGCCATCTAGAAGAGATAGTTTTCATTAGGATCAACAAAAGAGCGGCTATTAATAAAAAGTTAGTGCAATTATGTAAAAAGAAGGCAAAACTACATACTATTCCTGCTATAATTGTAAGATACCACAGTTAACTAACTATTACTAATAATGGTTATTTTATATCCAACATGCATTGTACTAAATAGTAAACAAAGAAAAACTTAAAATATAATTAAAATCATGTTTATGTGAAAATTGACTATGTTCTAATGGTAATTTTATTTTTACATTAATTTATTATTATAAATATTAGAAAATATAATTATTTAAGTCAGAAATTGTATTTATCTACACTAGAGATAAGAATAATACTTCAATTCAGTTCCATAAATTAAGTAAAACATTGAAAAACAACAAAGTTTTCTACCAAAACTAATACTTTGTTTTTAATAATCATTTGAAAACACTGTACAAAGAGTTTGGAAAATTAATTGGCTGATATTTTTGTATAAGCTATAACTTTAATTGTTAAGTACTTAAAATTTTTTTCAAATATAGTTAAAAAGACATTAAAGATAGTTTTTGTCATTCTCAGGCCCACTTTTATAAACGGGCAGACTGGGCATATGCCCAGGGGCGCTGGTGGTTTGGGGGCGCCCACTGGGAGCCCCCAAACCACCACCTGCCAGCACTAGGAAAAAAGGGGGGGCTGCTCTTGGGTTTGCCCAGGGCACCACTGACCCTTAACGCAGCCCTGGTCATTCTGCAGCAAAAACAGGTCTAAAGTACCTAACTTTTTTACTCCTTAGGGAGTAAACAGCATTTTTGGTCCATAAAGAGTAAAAGTCAGGATTGTTTCAAATATCATGTATTGAAAATGTGTATCGCTTGTTTTAATCCGTTGCTGCTTATTGTTGCATTCTTGTTTACAGTTAGTCATGACGATGGTATACTTACACAATCGTAATAGTCAAAATGATTAAACCATATTCTAATCAGCTGCTTGTTTACAACAGCTAAATTAAAAACAAGTAAGTTTGGCAGGTTATCTTTACATGAAAGGTTTTTTTTTTACTTTGTTTGTTTAAATAATGGTGCAAAATTACAAAAAATATAGTTTATCCCATAGCCAAAAAGTGTCTTTTCAACCCTCGCTTGTGTCATGAAACTTGAGCTTGGGTGGAAATAAATCACTTTACACCCTAGTGATGAAATATACTATTATAGGTAAGATTACAAATACTTTGCTAAGCAATAAAAATGAGTTTCATTTTCAAGTTTAAAATTCATATATAAAGGGTAAATCATTAATTTCAGACATACTCCAAGAAATTACATTAAATTAATTTAAATGTTTTTTTTATACATTAATGATCCAAAAACTGAGATTTACTTGTCCAAATCTCACAATTTTCAAATACAAACATATGTCATCATATAAAAAAAAAACTTATGACAGCTAGCTTGGCCATACTAACGGACCGAATTACACGCGGGTTGTACCAAAAGAAAGGTTATCGGTCCTATATGTGCAGGTTTTGTTTGAATTTTGAGAATATTTATGTTAATTGGGTCAAAAATGGAAATTAAACTATTCTTACGGAGATTTTTAACACGGGGTCAAGTTTTTAAGCTTACGACAGTTACCCTGACCATTTTGCACTTTTTTTAGGAAGAAGATAGATTTTTAGGAGGAATAGATTCATGACTAATAACCTCAAAGATATGAAAAGAGTGAGGAAAAAACTAAATAACTAATCTTTATAAAAAGTTCAAACAATTTTGGTTTCCTATCTGCCACTCTACCACTTCCTCCCCGTATGGTGTCCTGGTTTGGGATAGAACTGATGTCTTCACCAGGTTTATGTAAGAGGCTACTAACAGGGGTTAGGAGATCCTTCTCTCCATGCATACAACTTTCTACAAGGCCAAGATGTCTTCTTATCTTTTTGCTTGGCCCTCCTTTTGTCTCTCCTTTCATTTTTCTCCCTTCAACAACGTTAAGGGAGTTTTTTCTTTTTTTTGTCCGACCCACTTGAGTGAGCCCTCAAAGTGACCCTCCTGTGCAGATGGGCCGATGTGCCTTGCCCTGCCAATAGGACTCTTTGATGCATCACAATCTTGGTTATTCACAAGGAGGAGCTCATTCACCAAAGTCTTGGGTGAACTGGAATGTTGAAATAGTCAGCTGTGGAAGGTCAGAGCATTGTCCATGCTCTTGAACTTCAACTGACGTCTTTGGTTCGTGATATTTATTTGTGTGGACGTAGGGTGACATCATTGATGTCCTGAAAGCTCACTGCAAGCTTGCAGGACAAACAGCTGTTCAAGGGAGGAGGCTCACAAAACCAAATAGGAGTCAGAAGCGGACAACGGTCACATTTTTTTTTTTTGTACAGAAAAGAAATTACAAATTTGTAAAACTATTTTTGCGAAATCTTATTTTGATTTTATTTTAATTTCAGTCTAATCTACTAGGTAAAGGCAAAGCAGAACATGAGTCGACATAAAAACACTCACCTATCCTTTTTGGATTCCTCCTCCAATATCTTATCGACAGATTTTCCAGGCTCCAATCTGACTCGTTGTTTCAAAGAGTACATTGCTAGTTTATAGTCTCTCAGCTCAAAGTCTGGAGGATGATTGTGAGGAAACTTTTTTACTGAGTAAATAGGAGAGCCTTCTTCAATCAGCATGGTGGCTCTGGCTCTGCATGATGCATCCTTTTTATACTTATTATTTTCAATACATTTCAGCATTCTGGCATAACATGTGAAAAGAATGTATTATTAATGGCAGAACAAAGTGTTACATAACGAATAGCTTTAAACAGAACAGTATACTGGTGACTGATAAAAAAAGTTCTACCTGGCATAAAATATACAATAGGAAATGGTAAATGACCTGACAAATTTATTAACAATGGCAAAATAATCATTGATCACTAATACCACAATTGTTCCTAGAATTGCTTGGTTATTTTTTTTTTGTATTAAAATTGTATAGCTTGGCTCAAACCTTTCAAAAGTTTGAATTGTCAATTACTATCAAGCCCACATGATTACCAATTAAAATATTTATTCCATTTATAAATACCATTTTAATTAAATCTATATTAGTTTCTGTTAGTTAGGGACCATTAGAAACAACAACTTTTACCTAACCCGCCATGTTAAACTTCCCTATCCCAAGCGTGATGTATATAAATTTGTTACTTCTCGAGTGATGTAAAGTTGAAAAAAACTCACTCGGTGATGTAATGAAACCCATTTAAATAACATTGAGTGCTTAAAAATATACCTCTATGGAGCCAACGACGTTCAACGCTAGAAATCAGCTGTGCGCTTGAATTTTATTGTTATGTTTTGAAGAATTTTCCTAACCTAGCTTTTGTTTGTAAATGAACGTTACTGTTAGAAGATGAGTGAAATGGATAATGAAAAATATTGTTCGTAACCTCCTGTATATTGTCGGGTCAGGTAAAATCTTGTACATTACACGTTACGCAAGAGCGTGTTTACATCACTTCGGTAAATTATGCAACTCGCTTCCGCTCGTTGCACAACATTCACCTGCGTGATGTAAAAACGCTCTTACTACACTTGTAAGGTAAATAGCTATTAACAAGTCTACTCACTTAAACCTTCAACTTTAGGAGAATTTTCATTCACTCAATTTCAATATGTACCACTTGTTTGTGTCTTCTATAAGGCTGTTATTGGTGTAACTATACTCCATTCACAAAATGTAGGCGGTTTTAGGGAAGGGATTCTCCCAACCCATTGATCTTGCCTTTAAAGCAATAAGCTAGCTCAACAGCAGCTGCCTAACACCAATCAGCTGCAGCATAGCCTATATATTAAATAAATACCCCCGCCGCAGCAAACCTGCAGGCTAAGCGAATTTCCATTTGCCTGATTTGATTTTTAATTAAATCTATTCAAATAACATTAGGTTTAATGAGTACCTAGGTTTGCTGCCTACAGGGTAATAAAGTGTGTTTTTTAGTAAAATATTGATAGCTTAGTATAAAATAAATAGATTGGCCAAGTTTGATCCAAATATATGTATAAACAAGCAAACTACAACAGTTTGCTTATTCTTCATAAGAATAACATGGGAATTTTTAATTTACAATTTTCTCCGTAACCAATAACCATACAAAAACATTTCAATATAATAAAATATTTGTTTTTTTAAGGTCTTCAAAATGGTCTAGAGAAAGTTTGGGAAATTTTATGTTTTGAGGGTCAAAAATGAGTAAAAACCAATTTTTACCCCATAAATCCCCCTATAAAACCCCGTTCCCATGGCCTGATCTTGCTGGTTTGCGAAATCGTTTGAATAGACGTAGGTTTACACGTTTGTACCAAATTTCATCGATATCGGATCATTTTTGCTCGAGTTATCGTGCTAACGGACACACACACATATATATATATATATATATGAATTTGAACGGATGGTTTTTTTGGCTTCTAGGGACATCAAAATGAAAAAGTAAATCGGTCCCAGGACTAAGTCTTACCATGAGACCTACGGTAATAGCTTATTCCCTATAGGGAAATTCGCTAAAAAAGTTATAGGGAACTTTCCCTCAAGCCAACTAAATTTTGTAAATGGACTATAGTATAGTAGTATTTTGAACATTTTATGAAAATACGCAACAGCTGAATATTTTCTTGAGATTGTATCATGTTGAAACATATTGATAAACATATTAAACATGTGAACTCATATTGACTGGGACGGGTGGCGTCGTCCTGTAATCCAGCTACTAGGAGGTCACGAATTGTGGATATTTGTAGGCATGCACTGTGGATGCGATACTCCCTGGTGTGGATTAACGTCCGCACGAGTGAGTAATACGCAGTACTATCCTGATAATTAGACCAATTCGTATATACCAAGGAAAAAATGTGGTTCGGATTCCATTATAAACTGTAGGTGCCTTAAGTTGCCATTAGCTGTATGGGCTATTAATTAACAGCTGTGTCTAAGGAATGTCGGCCTTAGCAAGAATACAAGATCGCGCCACTCATCCTACATTCATCACCATTTCTCCATTCTTCATACTTGGCTTAAAATACCTAC